CAATGCGAGCATGTGCTGAAACCCATTTTTAAAAGTTAGTGGTCTCTGTAGTGGTATCTATGGAGGACTTTGAGTTGTATGTTTGAGTTTTTGGCCATAAAGTAAATGTTGCGGATTTGGGTCCAGAAATTGGCATCTGGAGAAAATGCAAAGTCTTGACATTGTGTTGGGTAGTGTCATTTCCTGTAAGTCATTTGCATAATTGAGTTTGTTTTTGGGAGTGAACTTTAGAAGCTCTGCGTTTAAATGGGCCCAGGTTAACTGTTTGGAAATTGATTTTATTTAGGATTATTGCTCTTCATTGTGAGTATTCCAGGAAGCATCTGCAGCAGATGGCATATTCCTGCGACTGGGGGCGACAGTAGCTCAGTTGGTAGAGCATTGGCCTTTGGGCCTGAAGGTCGTGGGTTCGAGCCCACCATAAGACCTACTTCACGACTCCCACTGATGACTGCTGTCGTTGTGTCCTTGGGCAAGACACTTAACCCCACTTTGCCTGAAGCTCCTACTGAAAGATCTCAGCTCCTGTGGACTCACCACCTGCAGGAGGATCAGTGAGGGGCTGGTGCTAAGTGTACTGGGTGCAGCTCTGACTGCCACACCCCCAACCCAGAAATGGATTAAGGGGAAGAAGATGGATGGATGGATGGACAAAAAGGTTTATTTCTTGTTCAAAAACAGGCAAAATGTTCAGACATTGGACAGAAAGTGACGCATCAGACCCTCCCTAACATCACTGCCCCCCTCATCTGCACCCTGTGCCACTGTTACCACAGGCTGGACTGTTGCTACAGGTGTGTCCCATTCTGTCACGTAGGTCTCTCCATGATTTTCGCACAGATTGTGCAGAGCACAGCAAGCCAGCACCATAGACTTTACCAGTTCAGTGTCAGAGTCATTCCTTTTCAGAAGACAGCGCCATCTTCCTTTAAGCCTGCCGAAAGCATTTTCAACAATCACCCGCCCTCTGCTGAATTGTCTGTTGAATAGTTGCTGTTCGTCTGTCAGTCGTCCGGTGTCCTGAAAAGGTTTTAGGAGCCAGTTCCGCAGGGGGTAGGCGGAGTCCCCTAGGAGGTAATAGCCAGCAGTCACCCCACCAATTTCTCTTGTGTGAGCTGGGAAGAGGCTTCCCCGGCAGGCTAACTCCCATAGGTTAGAGAGTCTCAAGTCCCTGGCATCATGCAAGCTCCCAGGCAATCCGGCAAACACGTTCCAAAACAACCCCTTTCCATCAACCACACCTTGGAGAATAATGGAATGCCACCCTTTGCGGTTGAAATAGTCACAATGACATTCCTGTGGAGCCATTGATAGGGATGTGGGATCCATCAATGGCACCAACACAGTGTGGGACCCCCCATCTGTTCTCGTTGTAGGCAGCAATCTCCCTGAATTTCTCAGTAGGACAACGGATCTGCGCTGACCCCCCTCATCCCCCACTCCCCACCAAGGCAAGGCAAGGCAAGTTTATTTGTATAGCACAATTCATACACAAGGCAACTCAAAGTGCTGAACAAAACAAGAAAGCATTAAAATCATAAATAATCACAGAACATTAAAAAGAAAGATAAAAACATAAAATCCCTCAGTTGTAGCACAGCTAAACAGAACTGTCTTTAACCTGGTTTTAAACATTGTCAGAGAGGAGGCCTGTCTCACATCTTCAGGAAGACTGTTCCAGATTTTAGCAGCATGAATCTGAAAAGCAGCCTCCCCATGTTTAGTTCTGACTCTGGGCACTAACAGGAGTCCAGTCCCTGTGCTCCTCAGAGTCCCAGCAGGAGTCCAGTCCCTGTGCTCCTCAGAGTCCCAGCAGGAGTCCAGTCCCTGTGCTCCTCAGAGTCCCAGCAGGAGTCCAGTCCCTGTGCTCCTCAGAGTCCCAGCAGGAGTCCAGTCCCTGTGCTCCTCAGAGTCCCAGCAGGAGTCCAGTCCCTGTGCTCCTCAGAGTCCCAGCAGGAGTCCAGTCCCTGTGCTCCTCAGAGTGCCAGCAGGAGTCCAGTCCCTGTGCTCCTCAGAGTCCCAGCAGGAGTCCAGTCCCTGTGCTCCTCAGAGTCCCAGCAGGAGTCCAGTCCCTGTGCTCCTCAGAGTTCCAGCAGGAGTCCAGTCCCTGTGCTCCTCAGAGTCCGGGCTGGTTCATATGGGACTAACATGGTACTAATATATTTTGGTGCGAGGCCATGGAGAGACTTGTAACAAGCAGAGCTGTTTTAAAGTCTATTCTCTGAGCCACAGGAAGCCAGTGCAGAGACCTGAGGACCGGACTAATATGGTCGTACTTCCTGGTTCTAGTCAAGACTAATGTGGTCGTACTTCCTGGTTCTAGTCAGGACTAATATGGTCGTACTTCCTGGTTCTAGTCAGGACTCGAGCTGCTGCATTTTGAATGTACTGCAGCTGTTTTACAGCCTGTTTGGACAGACCTGTGAGCAGGCCATTGCAGTAGTCTAACCTACTGGAGACAAATGCATGGATAAGAATCTCCAAGTCTGCTTTAGACACTATGTTTTTGATCCTGGCAATGTTTTTTAGATGGTAAAAAGCTGCTGATGTTACTGATTTGATGTGGCTATTAAAATTTAAGTCTGAGTCCAGTATTACCCCTAGATTTCTGACCTTGTTTGAAGGTTTTAGGGAGAGAGACTGGAGGTGACAGATGACGCTCTCTCTTTGTTTCTGGGGACCAAAGACAATCATTTCAGTTTTGTCTGCGTTTAGCTGAAGGAAGTTGTTTTGCATCCACTCACTGATCTGTTGGATACAGTGAAGGAGTGAGTCCACTGGTCCATGTTCTCCTGCAGTCAGTGAGACATAGATCTGAGTGTCGTCTGCATAGTTGTGATAGGACACTTTGTTTCTGCGCATTAACTGACCTAACAGCAGCATGTAGAGATTGAACAGAAGAGGTCCCAGGATCGACCCCTGTGGGACTCCACAGGTCAGGGCCATATGATCTGAGACACAGTTTCCAATCTCCACAAAGTACTTCCTGTCTTCAAGGTAAGACCTAAACCAACTTAGGGCGGTGCCAGCGACGCCAACCCAGTCCTCTAGTCTCTGTAAGAGGATCTCATGGTCGACAGTGTCAAAGGCAGCACTCAGATCTAACAGGATTAGGATTGAGACTTTGCCTGCGTCAGTGTTCAGCCGGATATCGTTTGTAACCTTAACGAGAGCAGTCTCAGTGCTGTGGTGGGGTCTAAAGCCGGACTGAAACATATCAAATGAGTGGTTGATTATAAGAAATCTAATAAGCTGTAGGTAGACAACTTTTTCAAGGACTTTCCCCATAAATGGCAGATTTGAGATGGGACGATAGTTGTTAAGTACCGTAGCATCGAGACTGCTCTTTTTTAGCAGGGGCCTGATGACTGCAGTTTTCAGGGCCTTTGGGAATATTCCAGAATGAAGGGACATGTTTACTATCTGTGTGAGTGAAGGTAACAGACTGCTCAGAACAGACTTCAGAAATCTAGTGGGTAGTACATCCAGGCTGCATGTGGAGGAGCTCAAACTGGAGATTATCTCTTGGACAGTTTTATCATTTACAGGTGCAAAGTGAGTTAGCTCAGAGAGCCTTTCTGGCTGTTGGATGGTTATCTGTGGATTGGAGACAATGGCGTTTTTGATGCCTTGAACCTTGTCATTGAAAAAATTAGCAAACTCATTGCATTTACGTTTGGAAGTAAGCTCTAATGGCATTTGAACAGGGGGGTTTGTTAATCTCTTAACTGTTGAGAACAGAACACGCAGATTGTTGCTGCAGCCTTCAATCATTTCAGAAAAATACCTTTCTCTCGTACTACGTAGCACCTGGTTAAACTCGCACAACTTATCTTTGAAGATCTCGTAATCAACCTGGAGGTTGGACTTGCGCCACTTCCGCTCGGCCCTCCGGCACTTTCTCTTTTGTGCCCTGACCGAGTCTGCTTTAGCCCACGGCGCCTTCTGCTTATTTTTCACTATTTTAACCTTCACAGGAGCGATGGTGTCCAGAACATTCAAAACACTAGAGGTGACAGAGTTAAACAGTTCATCTACAGTAGAATACGATGCATTCTCAAAGTTTATCATTCCCATAAATAGTTCACTCGTATTTTCATTTTTGTGTCTTCTTTGTACAGTTGTAGAGTCCACTGGTGGTTTGTTAGTGAAACACATGTCAAAAAATACACAAAAATTATCCGAAAGCGAAACATCGACCACGTTTACATTAGAAATGTTCACCCCCTTTGTATCTAACAGGTCTAGAGTGTGCCCTCTGCTGTGGGTGGGGCCACTCACATGCTGAGTGAGACCAAAGGATTCAAGAACAGAACTCAGCTCTTTTGCATTTCTGTCATCAACATTATCCACATGAATATTAAAATCACCTGTAACAAAACTATCAAAATCTGTGCATACAACTGAAAGCAACTCTGTAAAATTATCAATAAAACTGTGACATGACTGCGGTGGCTTGTATAGGACAATGAAGAGTATTGGAGGAGATTGTTTTTGTTGTATTTTAAAAGACACATATTCAAATGACGGAAACTTCCCAAGAGGTTTTCTATGGGAGACAAAGTGGTCTCTAAAAATGGCAGCTAAGCCTCCTCCTTTTTTGTTTTCCCGTATTTCAGATTCAAATTTGAAATTTGGTGGTGATGCTTCTATTAAAACTGCATTTTCTGTATTTTGGTCAAGCCAAGTTTCAGCCATGAACATAAGATCTAGATTATAAGAACAAATAAAATTATTGATTAAAAAAGACTTGTTACAAAAAGATCTGACATTTAGCATAGCAAGTTTCAAAGTTTCAGGATCAGCGGTTGTGGTCGGCTGATTCTTACACGGAACAAGAATTAGATTTTCCAGATTAGACAGATGTTTTTCTGTTATGTATTCTTTGTGTTATCACTAAAGGAATGGCACAGGTGGCTTCATGACAGGGCCCCAGCCGGGTCTCTCCTCTAACTAGACTGCCAGTGGCTGCGAAGCAGAGACCCTGTGCATCCTAGTGTTTAGAGAAAAGAGGGGAAGGGGAAGGCAGGGGAGGAGGATGGAGAGGTGGGTGGCTTTTGGGAGCTGGTTCTCATCCCCCACTCCCCACCACTCCCCACCACACTGACCCCCCCCCCCCTCATCCACTCCCCACCACACTGATCCCCCACTCCCCCCCTCATCCCCCACTCCCCACCACACTGACCCCCCTCACCCCCCACTCCCTGCCACACTGACCCTTCTCATCCCCCACTCCCCACCACACTGACCCCCCTCACCCCCCACTCCCTGCCACACTGACCCTTCTCATCCCCCACTCCCCACCACACTGACCCCCTCATCCCCCACTCCCCACCACACTGACTCCCCTCACTCCCCACTCCCCACCACCCACCACACTGACCCCCACTCCCCACACACTGACCCCCCTCATCCCACACTTCCCACCACACTCACCCCCCTCACCCCCCACTCCCCGCCACACTGACCCTTCTCATCCCCCACTACCCGCCACACTGACCCTTCTCATCCCCCACTACCCTCCACACTGAACCCCCTCACCCCCCACTCCCCACCACCCACCACACTGACCCCCACTCCCCACACACTGACTCCCCTCATCCCACACTTCCCACCACACTGACCCCCCTCATCCCCCACTACCCGCCACACTGACCCTTCTCATCCCCCACTACCCTCCACACTGAACCCCCTCACCCCCCACTCCCCACCACCCACCACACTGACCCCCACTCCCCACACACTGACTCCCCTCATCCCACACTTCCCACCACACTGACCCCCCTCATCCCCCACTACCCGCCACACTGACCCCCCTCATCCCCCACCACCCTCCACACTGAACCCCCTCATCCGCGCATGTGACTGCCTAAGACACACATGCACACACACTACAGACTCTTGGACACACACACACACACACTACTGACTGATACCCAGGCTAAACCAGGTAGAAGTAGGGTCCAGTCCCTCTGCTCCCTAGCCCAGCCTGTACCGGAGGGCATCAGCAAAAAGCTGTGCTCTTTAATTTCGGCAATGCATCAGGATGAGGTCACGGGTGTTGTCAAAGCAGAAAAGGGGATTCTGAGACTCGGAGAGCACCTGTACTTAAAACACGGGCATGATAAGACTAAGCATGATTACATTAGGCAGAAAATGAGAGAAGTCGGTAGGTTAATTAACAAAGCAAAAACCGCAGGGAAACTGAAAACAATTAAGGATTTCTTTATTCCTTCCAACTTTAACCATGTGATTGATGCAGTCAGGTCTGTGGCTGGATATGATGAGGAAACAAATCAATACAAGACTCCATCCTTGGCCCTCAAACTCGGCCATAGCCTCAGAAAGCTAGCAGATATTCTTGAATGTGACTCAAAAATGGAGCATTGTGTTGATGAACTATTTATTAAAAACCTCCAACGAAGCCGGCTGCTTTTTGAGAAGAGGTGGGACGTCTGTGTTTCTTCTGCTGCCCTACAGACCCTCCGGCAAGCCAAGTGGAACACTCCGGACCTGCTCCCTCTGACTGAGGACGTTAGAGCCATGCATGCACATATTGAGGTATGTCGACCTGAATATGTGCAAACCCTAATAAGTGAGCCAACGTCTAAGCATTGGTCTAAACTGGCAGTTTTGTCTCTTTGTGAGGTCATCATTTTCAATCGAAGAAGGGAAGGTGAGGTTTCAAAGATGCCACTGACAGCCTTTACCTTAAGAAGTAAGACTGGGATCCATTCTGACATGGCTCTGGGACTGTCCGAACTTGAGAAAAAGCTGTGTCAGCATTTTCAACGCATTGAAATTAAAGGGAAAAGAAGTGGGAAAGTGGTGGTTCTTTTGACTCCTGAAATTATTGCTTGGATGGAGGTGCTGGTGGAGAACAGAAGGGCCTGTTCCATCTCTGACCATAACCCAACCTTCTTTTCCCGCCCGGGCGCAGACACCCACATCAGGGGATCAGACTCCCTACGCCAGGTAGCCAAAGAATGTGGTGCGGTGCATCCAGAGATGCTATCCTCAACCAAACTTAGAAAGCACATAGCTACTATGTCTACAGTTCTCAATATGAAAGAGAATGAAATGGACATACTTGCCAACTTCCTCGGCCATGACATTCGCATCCACAGACAATATTACAGACTACCAGAGGGGACACTGGAGCTGGCCAAAATCAGCAAAGTGTTGATGGCCATGGAGCAGGGAAGAGTGACGGAATTCAAAGGAAAGAGCCTCGACCAGATACAAATTGAGCCTGAAGGTAATTCTTGATATTATTAAAATATGTATGATTTTTTTCCCCTAAAGGCCACTTGTATTTTTATTTTCTGTGCGACAGGGAGAGCAGTAGAGATCCTCTCACAAACGGACGGGCTAAAAGAAACTTCAAGCGGAGAACCTTCAACCATTCATCCAGATGCACCCCATGGTAGTGGCAGTGCCCCTTCTGGTAAGTGTACCAGGTGGGGGATTACAGCCAGGCTGCTTGGTCCTAACCCTGGGAGTGTATAAAGGTCCCTGGGAAGTCTTACTGCCTGGCCTGCATTAATGCCTCACCAGATGACCTTAGACATCGGACATGGAGTGGCATTAAATTCTATGTCAAAAATAGAATCACTGCAATTCGAAAAAAAAATCTAAAATAAAATTCCTTAGTTTGTTTTCTATTGACTGTTTTGTATTACTTAAAGTAGTCCCAGTAAAAAAGATTATGTCTATGGGTCCCATTCTGAACGGCCCTGTCAAAGGGACCCACCAGGTAACAAAAACGTGTATGTGTGTGTGTGTGTGTCCAATCCACTTTATTTATATAGCACATTTTATAAAACAAGTTTCAAAGGTGCTGCACAGAGATAAAATCAACACATTTAAATATGTGCAAAGTAAAAACAATACAAATTTAATAAAAACAATAAAATACTAGTTATCCGATTTAAATAAATAAAAACAAAACAAATAAAACAATAAAAAGAGGACCACACAACTCACGCGGTGTTAAAAGCCAGAGAGTAAAAAAATATATATGTGTATGTTGCAGTAATTTGTCAGAATTCCCCAGCCCCAGAAGCTGCAGAGAGGCCGCAAACACAGCCCTTCGTTCTGCAGGTCCTTTTAAGAGGATGTGTGTGTGTTTGTGTAGAGTATGTGTGTGTGTGTTTTTGTGTAGGGTATGTATGTGTGTGTGTGTGGTTGTGTAGAGTATGTGTGTGTGTTTGTGTAGAGTATGTGTGTGTGTGTGTGTGTTTGTGTAGACACTATTAAACCTGTTGATACGTTTGGACTTGGTGAGTTTGAAAACAAAGTCCAGCTTAAACCTGACTCTGACATTTCAGAAACTCAAAGTGAAAGTAAAGGTTTGACAGTCGGTCCTCTCTTTTGAATGTCTTTTGTAAAAGTCGCTTCATGGAACTTCTGTGGGAATGAATCCACATGTTTCCACTTCAGTGTTTGTCCAGAAGAGAACAATGGGCCTCATTCACGAACGGTTCTTAGGAACAGATTTGTACGTAAATCCTACTTACGCGGTTTTTACGAAGAAAGTGGCATTCACGAATATTTCTCGTAACCAGAATTTCTCTTGGGCAAGTACAAATCCTACGAGTCCTCAGGAGCACTCGTACGCATTCAGTGCCGACATGTTCACACGCCGGGGTTGTCCTCTTTGGTGAAGTTGAATAAAAATACAACATTCCAGTGATATGTCCGTCATATCGATGTATGTATTTATTTATTTGTAGTAATCTTTATTAGTAATCTTTATTTATATACCGCCTTTTTCACTGCAGATCTGGCCTACTTTTTAATTCATTTTGAAATGAAATGTGCCAACGCTTTATCAAATACATTGGAAATCTTGCCGTGTATTAGTGACCCCTTCCTATTTATAGGGGGCATTTTTTATCCACGGGCCACAGAACAACGGCATATATACTGCTGCTGCAGGAGGTTACTGGGTCCGCGCTGAGTCTCTGCGCTGGTCTCTCCTATGGATCTATACGGCTCTGCGCTGGTCTCTCCTATGGATCTATACGGGTCTGCACTGGTCTCTCCCATGGATCTATACGGGTCTGCACTGGTCTCTCCCATGGATCTATACGGGTCTGCACTGGTCTCTCCCATGGATCTATACGGGTCTGCACTGGTCTCTCCCATGGATCTATACTGGTCTGCACTGGTCTCTCCCATGGATCTAGACGGGTCTGCACTGGTCTCTCCCATATACGGGTCTGCACTGGTCTCTCTCCATACGGGTCCGTGCTGCATGCTCCTGGATCCATACGGGTCCGCGCTGGTCTCTCAAGTCTGGTCTATGCGGTCTATCTTCGGTCCGCGCTGGTCTCTGCGCACCGGTCTCTCCAGTCAGGTCACTCCAGTCTATGCGGTCTCTCCTATAGGTCCGCGCTGGTTTCTGTGTGCTGGTCACTCCAGACCCACCCTCGGGTCTGCATTGGTCTCAGCGCTGGTCCGCGCTGGATCTCCTCCCAGGGTCCAAAATATTTTGAGATTAATCTCAAAACATTTTGAGATTCATCTTTAAAATAATACATAATATATTTTTAAATTAAGCTCATAACATTTTGAGATTAATCTCATCATATTCTTAGATTAATCTCATAATTTTGCTAGTTCGACTTTATTATCATAATATTTCGACTTTTAAGTCAACATTTTATAACTTTATTCTCAGTCTGGCAAAAGAAGAAAAAAGGGTGACTCTTTTGCTCCGTGGCCTGTTGCTTTAGGCCTGTTGCTGTTTCCTCTGCCGTCTGCACACGGCCCTGCAGCCCCTTATATGGGCATTAGTGGGCGGTTACTTATGCTAAGTACCTATGCTAATGAAGCACCTGCCACGCGCGCTGTGCTTACGAGGAAATGGGATTCATCAATCTGAGAGAACAGCTGCGAACAATTCAGCGGCTTACGAGTGCGTTGATGAATCCCACGTGGGGACTTCTTAGAAATCTACTTAAGGACAACTTGAGAAGAAAGTTGAGTAGTTTCTTACGAAGTTATTCGTGAATGAGGCCCATTGTTCTCTTCTGGACAGATGCAGGTGCAGAGAAGTCGTTAGAGTAAAAAGGTAAAGGCAGCATAAAGAGGCGTCGATAAACCAGATTATTAACGCCATAATCCAGCCTCAGGTCTACCCCAGACTTACCCCAGGTCCAGGTATCACAGGTACAGGACATCAGCTGCAGTCTTTGCCTCAGCATCAGCCCCTCCCCCTGCCCTCCTAACCTGACTGACCTGGGCTTGCTCTCCCCCCTCTCCCCCTCTCCCCCCTCTTCCCCCCTGGCTCTCCTGCAGGTCCTGGCCTCCCTGACGCCCTCCTCCGCCTCGCGCAGTAACGCCCCCCCTCCTGTGCCTCTCCCGCAGAGCTACGAACCCGACGAGCTGACGGAGGAGATGGCCCACCTGGAGGGCCTCATGAAAGACCTGAACGCAATCACCACCGCGCCCTAGGGACCCCGCCCCACCCCACCCCAACTCAGCACCCTAAGGACCCTACCCCGCCCCGCCACAACACCCTAAGGACCCCACCCCGCCCTCGCCACAGCACCCTAAGGACCCCACCCTGCTCCACACAGCACCCTGAGGACCTCACCCGCCCTGCCACAGCACCCTAGGGACACAACTGATTGTTCCGGCTGTTTTACTCTTTCACCAGATTAGAAACACAAGATCTGCTACTAGCTTCTCAACCTGCCCTGGTCCTGTCTCCCCTGGTCCTGCCTCCCCTGGTCCTGCCTCCCCTGGTCTCTCCCCTGGTCTCTCCCCTGATCTCTCCCCTGGTCTCTCCCCTGGTCTCTCACCTGGTCTCTCACCTGGTCTCTCACCTGGTCTCTCCCCTGGTCTATACCATTCAATCCAAACGGGGGGAAAACAAAAAAATTGACGAATTTTGTAAATATCAAAGTAGTAAATTTGCCTACAAAAGCTGCCATTACTTCAGACTATCAATCAATAGGGATTTGAAGCAGCTCAGGACAAAAGTTAATGAGTCAAATAATGCCAGTGCTTATGTCTAATGTGTACATTCATTTATAAAAGGGGCCTATGGTTGGTGGCTCAAATCCTGGCTGCCCCAAGTGCAGTCTGGTATGTTCTTGAGCAATGCACTTCACCCACATGTGTGGACATAGTGAGAGACTGCTTGGTGGTGGCCAATAGCACAGATTAGTAGCCTGGCATCCTCCAACCCAGCTGTGACACACTGTGTGGAATAAATGAATAAAGACTAGTGTGGCGTTTTGAGAAACTTGTCAACACAGGATTGAAAAGTACATTACAAGTTAAAGATATTATTACACCACCACCACCACCACACACTCCTACACCCATGGTCTCCACATTACTGATCATAAAGAGAACATGCCATAACATTTTTGTGCCCAACTTTGGCCTTTTGGGACAAGCAGACATTCATTACTATTGTGTTTTGTCAAATTTGTATGTAGAAGAGGGAGATTAAACAAAAAGAACAAATTGTTTTCTGGCATTTATGTACATGCTTTTTTTATGAATTTGTGTTATCTGAATGGCTCTGAAATGTAGACACTGAATAAGTTCAACACAAAACAAATATTGCAACAAATTCTCTTTTATTATAATCGTGAGAGAAAGGCTTCAGAGGAGAGCGCCAATCTCCATCTCTCTTGGAAAGCTTTCAGCCTCCCTGCTGCCTCCTCTGGTAAATGCCTCACCAGATCATTTGCAATCATTTTAAACTCACTGTCCATAAAGAACAATCACAGATTAGATTGTGCAGTGCACAGTGAAATATGTCCATCAATATTTAAATAATCTTACCATGGTTCATACTTTGGCCCCTTTATGAATTTTTCAATTGCCTCTTGCTGAGGCAGGTGAAATGCCTCGGCCAGAGTGTGTGAACTGTCACCTAGATAAGAGTAAAATGTGTTACATTCAACAACAACAGTTCACAAACTTCTCAAAGATATCCACAATATCTACTAGTTGTGTTTTTGTCTACAACAAATGCATCAAAATGCCTTTTAAATGCTTTGATCTCTGTTGGTTCTAATCTATCGTCATTGATCTAGGCATTAATCTAGCTACACTCCGATGGACTTTTTTATTTCAACATTCACCTCATGTTTGAACACAATGAATTGGCCAGTATCTAATAACACTGTACATAACAGTAATAACTTGATCTAACTTTTGAAAGTAAATGCTTGGGAAATGGTACCTTTACCAGTGATATGAGCACGGGCTAAAAAACTCTATTATTGAAAGCATTTTATCTTAGGTGAGCATTTATCGATTCCTATATTTACTCTATTTTTTTAACTCAAAGCTCGCTCAGCGTGAGCAAGGCATATTTCTAATCTGTGACTTCTGATCCGACTTTTAATATCTCAAAAATACTCTGATTCTAATATTATAATCTGCTCTATCAAAGATAACATGTAGGGTACTATTTAACTCTTACGTGGAAATATGTTTATGAACAACAAGGAAATCAAATGTCTACTTTTTACTACTATTACATCTAATAAAACGCTACAATACTCAACTTTACATTTTCAAAGTTTTTGTCTGTCAGATGTCTGAATACTTAACAGTATATTGCATTTGTCGACAGTTTCTGGTTGTAGCTATAGCATCGGCAAATAGACGTTTTCATTGGCTGGTTCGTGTTCTTAGCAAAAGGCTGTGTCGCAATAAGTCATCAGATGTCCAATGCTAGAGACAAACACAACAAAAGAAGAATCATGAGTATCTCTCTCATTTAGCACTCACAATGTATGATTTCAAAAATTATAAACACACTCCCCAGTTTTTTCTCTCTCAATCCTCAGGTCCGCAGGGGCCACTGAGGTGAGTCTCAGTCGTCATCAGGTCAGGTCATAGAGAGATGTACCATCTTGGACATCAGTAGGTCCAAGCCATGGTTCTGGTCTCTCCAGTTGGACATCAGATCTCCAGATAGCAGTCTTTCACTGAAGGAACAAGCCAGGTCATTTGCGATGCCTTCTGGCAATGGTGCAGTCCTCACAGTTCCTGTACACCAGCTTGTTAATGCAAATTACTTTCTAGGTCTAAGTCACTTTGATTCTACGTTAAAGACAATTTCTATCATGCTGTTGCTAATGTCCCTTAGACAAAAGCAAGCGCATTTACTTCTCTAAGTTGTGGTTTTTATCAGAGCTAAAATTCTCATCAATGTAATTACTTCCCACAGTACAAAATCAACAAATCAAAAGTGTCAGGACAGAGGTCAATTATGTCCTTGACAATATAGAATTCTAATGAACAGTCTGGTCTCAAAAATACTGATTCAAATAAAGATTCAGTGATAGACAAATTACTGGTTTTACATTGGAGTAAACTTTTTAAAATGCTTTTTTTCCTCATGTTCTGCTTTTTCATGATCTGCAAATAAGCTGCTCTCTCTTCAATGCTAGTTGGATGTGTGCTGTGAATTTGATTTCCCGGCAAAAACATCCCTTGTAGCTTTACAGGGAAGTGGTTCATTGAAGCCCAAAAGACAGCGGCTATAATTTGTCAGAAGAATGAAATGTGGATGCTGCTTTAAAGGAAAAAAGACACGGAACTGCAAGAGTTTAGTTTATGAAGCACCTGATGATCGTGCGGGCTGATGCTATGAATAGATCACATGAGGTCGATCACCAGCTTCAATCTATCCCATCTATTGAGCTTTTGACTGCCTGAGCAGTCCAACATGCATTTGGAGGAGATGATTTGCAGACTCTTATCAGTGACACAAAAGTAACTGTGGGCTTTAGCGCATGAAACTTTCCAGTCAAAAATCATGTGGGAAGGCATCTCTAGGCAAAGATGAAAAATGTCAACACCAGGGCCAAATTGCATGGCACAATTGAAAAGGTCTAACCTAGCAAAGCGACCAGGAGTTATGACTATAAATGGGACAGGGAGACCATTGACCCATTGTGAGGATCAGAAGGGTCTTGCCCATGAACTTCTATGTACGATCAGCAAAGAATGACACACTGGAGTCTTCTGAAACTCCCTTGCTATAGACAGATAACGTGGCAGACAAATAAACGCCAATAACATGTGGATAGGTTGATGAGTAGCACTACTCTTCCTGAACTTGTGTCGGCATCTGCTGAGAAAAGCTTTATCAAGGTTAAGCTTAATCACAAACATACATCGAGACTAGCTCATGGAGTCAGGAGCAATACATCAAATGGTGAAGTTACGTTAGCAATACAGGGAGATAATGACAGTCCGAACACATATGATAACAACAATGAATCGTACATCGTCCATGAGAAAAAAGCAGAGAACACATTTTGGGGAGAGGGATTCACCATTTTCGTGCACTGGATGCAGTTCTGACTTCTTTGTAATGAGAATCTACACTTGGGCATGAAATATACCCTAACCTGTTTGTGAGATGGAGGTGGAGGAGGGGGTAGGTAGGGTAGTGAGAGTAGCACTAACTCTCTGCATCGTAGGGGTAGCTGGAGTCTACTGCCTAGAACCACAAAGAAGGCTTTCCAAAAGTAAAGGCTTTTTGAGACAAAACAAACTTTGATGAGCTTCAAATGGTCCATGAGGCGGCTAGGTCGGATCTTGCGATATACATGAGGAGATATTAGAGTCGATCACATAGATAACTTCATATATGCAAAATGGACTTGCAGTCCATAGGTCATGCGGATCAAAAGCAGTAAGAAAACTCTCTTGAGATACATCTTCACTCAATTGTAGTGTATTGTGGGCTAGGATAAGTTTTAATAACGAGCAAAAGCTATTTAAGCTTGATATTTATTTAAATTGTGGTGGTGAAAAGTATTCAAATGTTAAAACATATACAAGGGGGTGGGGGGGTGTGAGGGAGCTATTGTTAAATCATTGTAATAAACTACGTATTACATGTGAAAACAATGCGTATTTATTTGGGCTTGTCTGTCTTATATTGGCATAATTGAGTGATCAGGAATGATTATGTCATTTGTTCACAGTGCGTAATGTGGAACTTCTTGCGTGCTGTAATTTGTATGGTTTCATGGAATAAGTGGGAGGGCCCCCCTATGCTGACTTTTGCTTAGGGCCCCATTTAGGCAAGCACCCAGCCAGGAGGTAACGATAATCTGGGACAAGTACACAACATAGGGGGGGGGGGGGGGGGGGGGGGGGGGGGGGGGGGGGGGGGGGGGAAGGGGGGGGGGTGGGGGGGGGGGGGGGGGGGGGGCCTATGCTCAGAGCCAGAGGGAGCAGCAGAATGAGGCAGCAGACACGCACTAAGAATGGAGAGGGCCTGTGTCTGATGATGGAAGCGATTAGATAAAAGTAACAGGGAAATTCTTCGCTGTACACAAGGGGAGCTTGCCCAGTATCGCACAGCAGTAAGCTGCGGTAATCCAAAGTGGCAGAGTGATTTCTTACAGTTGAGTGTCATGATAAGTTGGGGGGGGGGGGGGAGGGGGGGGGGGTGGGGGGGGGGGGAGGGGGGGGGGGGGGTGGGGGGGGGGGGGGGGGGGGGGGGGGTGGGGGGGGGGGGGGGGGGGGGGGGGGGGGAAAACCACTGTCCAAGATATAAAATATGTTTGTGGGGGGGGTCATAGAGTTATTATATAAAAATTCTAAATACTTACTATCTTCTGTGGTGTGGTGGACTACTCCTGGTCTCTGCCACAATAACCTCTGCACCAAGGTATTTTGGAAAGAAATGATATAGAGAAAAAAGTCTCGTCCACATCACAAATCATCACATAAAACAAACTCCAGAATCACAATTAAAACATTAAAATCACACAAAAGAATAAAAAAATAATAATAATACAGTGCCTTGCGAAAGTATTCTGCCCCCTTGAACCTTTCAACATTTTGCCACATTTCAGGCTTCAAACATAAAGATATAAAATTTAAATTTTTTGTCAAGAATCAACAACAAGTGGGACACAATCGTGAAGTGGAACGGAATGTATTGGATAATTTAAACTTTTTTAACAAATAAAAAACTGAAAAGTGGGGCGTGCAATATTATTCGGCCCCTTTACTTTCAGTGCAGCAAACTCAGTCCAGAAGTTCAGTGAGGATCTTTGAATGATCCAATGTTGTCCTAAATGACTGATGATGATAAATAGAATGTACCTGTGTGTAATCAAGTCTCCGTATAAATGCACCTGCTCTTTGATAGTCTCAGGGTTCTGTTGAAAGCACAGAGAGAACCATGAAGACAAAGGAACACACCAGGCAGGTCCGAGATACTGTTGTGGAGAAGTTTAAAGCCGGATTTGGATACAAAAAGATTTCCCAAGCTTTAAACATCTCAAGGAGCACTGTGCAAGCAATTATATTGAAATGGAAGGAGTATCAGACCACTGCAAATCTACCAAGACCCGGCCGTCCCTCCAAACTTTCATCTCAAACAAGGAGAAGACTGATCAGAGATGCAGTCAAGAGGCCCATGATCACTCTGGATGAACTGCAGATAACTACAGCTGAGGTGGGAGAGTCTGTCCATAGGACAACAATCAGTCGTGCACTGCACAAATCTGGCCTTTATGGAAGAGTGGCAATACATAGTTCCCACATGACGTCACTACATACGGGGATTTGCCGACCCGGCGACATTTGTGTTGGCATGCTGTGGGCAAAACAATAGTAAAAGAAGCTGAAACGTGTTAATGTCGTGATAAAGTTGAAAATGGTCATCTCCTGCTGGGTCAATGGATGTTCAAATCGTGCCGGAGGTTCCGTTAAACTTGGATTTTACAGTATACCCATCATTAGACTTCATGAATGTGAGAAGACTAAGCTTTTGTCAGAACAACCACGGAGGTTATGGCTTGCGAAGATAAACAGGCAAGAAACTCCCTCAAAACACGCAAGAATATGCTCGGAGCACTTTGTGTCAGGTGCGTATCGTATCTTATAATGTGTTGACAGACGTAATTTACTCAGTACTAACTTGTGTATGCTGATATCTGGTAACTTGAGAGTTTCATTATTTAGCGTTAGATTACTTTATTATGAGGAGGATCGGTGTCGCGTCCGAGGCTCTCGAGGGCAACGTAAATGTATTAAATAGATAATAATAGTTCTATGGTGGGCTAAAACAATGTTCACAAACAGCATTGCTTCTGTAAAAATATCTGTGTCATAAAATAAACTGCTCTTTACGCCTGGAAAAATCAGTTGCCCACCATTCACCAAAACATACGGTCAAAAACGCGGAAATAAACAATAACAGCAATCCAGAGTGTCCGTGTGGCATTAGCATTAATTAAATGAATTGTTAATATAATTAAAATAATTAAATGGAGCTCCAACTGGTATTAAATCTAAAGTTTTTGAGAAATGTTTGCATTGCTTGTTAATTTTTGCTGCATAATTTTATCAAATATGTAAAACATGTCCGTAGCACGTTAAACTGTGGTGCCATTGTATTAATATACAATTATTTGCTCAAAAGTTGCCCTTTTTTTCCAATTTGCGTTTGAATATCTACATTTATTCTCATTCTTCTGTTTAATGGAATGCACAAACACAGCAGCGAGCCATCAAAGATGGCGTCTCCGAGGAGGTCATGTGACATTCATTGGTCTGTGGGAACTATGTATAAGAAAAGCATTTCTCAAAGATATCCATAAAAAGTCTGGTTTAAAGTTTGCCACAAGCCACCTGGGAGACACACCAAACATGTGGAAGAAGGTGCTCTGGTCAGATGAAACCAAAATCAAACTTTTTGGCCACAATGCAAAACGATATGTTTGGCGTAAAAGCAACACAGCTCATCACCCTGAACACACCATCCCCACTGTCAAACATGGTGGTGGCAGCATCATGCTTTGGGCCTGCTTTTCTTCAGCAGGGACAGGGAAGATGGCTAAAATTGATGGGAAGATGGATGGAGCCAAATACAGGACCATTCTGGAAGAAAACCTGTTGGAGTCTGCAAAAGACCTGAGACTGGGACAGAGATTTATCTTCCAACAGGACAATGATCCAAAACATAAAGCCAAATCTACAATAGAATGGTTCACACATAGACGTATCCAGGTGTTAGAACGGCCAAGTCAAAGTCCAGACCTGAATCCAATCGAGAATCTGTGGAAAGAGCTGAAGACTGCTGTTCACAAACGCTCTCCATCCAACCTCACTGAGCTCCAGCTGTTTTGCAAGGAAGAATGGGCAAGAATTCCAGTCTCTCGATGTGCAAAACTGATAGAGACATACCCCAAGCGACTTGCAGCTGTAATTGCAGCAAAAGGTGGCGCTACAAAGTATTAGCCCAAGGGGGCCGAATAATATTGCACGCCCCACTTTTCAGTTTTTTATTTGTTAAAAAAGTTTAAATTATCCAATAAATTTTGTTCCACCAGCAGGAGTCCAGTCCCTGTGCTCCTCAGAGTCCCAGCAGGAGTCCAGTCCCTGTGCTCCTCAGAGTCCCAGCAGGAGGCCAGTCCCTGTGCTCCTCAGAGTCCCAGCAGGAGTCCAGTCCCTGTGCTCCTCAGAGTCCCAGCAGGAGGCCAGTCCCTGTGCTCCTCAGAGTCCCAGCAGGAGTCCAGTCCCTGTGCTCCTCAGAGTCCGGGCTGGTTCATATGGGACTAACATGTCACTAATATAGTTTGGTGCGAGGCCATGGAGAGACTTGTAACAAGCAGAGCTGTTTTAAAGTCTATTCTCTGAGCCACAGAAAGCCAGTGCAGAGACCTGAGAACTGGACTAATGTGGTCGTACTTCCTGGTTCTAGTCAAGACTAATGTGGTCATACTTCCTGGTTCTAGTCAGGACTCGAGCTGCTGCATTTTGAATGTACTGCAGCTATTTTACTAGCCTGGCTCTGCCAGACCCTTGTAGTTCCGCCATGCTCCACCAGAGGCGTTTGGCTGAACCACATGGGTCTGGTATAAACGCCATAGCGAACGCCTTCCCCAGATTATTTTTTAATCGACCAATCAGGATTGCCGGTGTTACATGGGGTTTGCGCTGCCTCTTTTAATGTTGTTTTATGTCTGTATTTGTCTGTGCACACTGGAGACTTTTTGCTAATGTATTCCAATGTGTTTTTTTTACTGCAAATGGCAAATAAACTGAATCTGAATCTGAATCTCCTCACGCTTCTCTCATGCAGCAGCAAGAGGAATCCAAGATGGCGGACGTAAAGTCCGCGAATCTTTTTAAAAGAGTAAATACGATCGAATTAAGACACGGAGGTCACTTTTAATGCAATTTGAGGCGAGATGTTGATGGTTCTATGTTGATATAAGTGTGTTTTAAGAGTCAAATGTTCCTGTAAAGTTTGGTTGAAGCACTGGTTCAGTGTTCCTGTTTACACACTATGCAGCAGGGTTGCCAGGTTCGGTGGTTCCCGCATATTTTTTTCCCAAGAGACTTGTAGGTATTAAATAAACAGAAAGACAATAAACAGAATCATGATAGCCCAAGTTGATTACATTACGTTTTGAGCCAAAAAATCATTCTGTTTTTATTGTGTGTGGGCATTTTCGTGGATTTTGGGTTGAAAAATCTTGCTGGGATTTGGCAACCTATGGGAGCAGTGTGCTTCGATGTGAGTGGTTGAAAGCAGACTTCATTCAAGATAACGGACAAGTGGTCTATCCAATCACATATAAGGATTTTTTTACAAGGCCCTGCCTTCTGAAATCCAACCACTGTGGCTCAGTACCAGACTGATGTGTGAAGTGCAGTGAACTACATGGGTCTGGCCAGAGTCAGGCTACTGTTTTACAGCCTGTTTGGACAGACCTGTGAGCAGGCCATTGCAGTATTCTAACCTACTGGAGACAAATGCATGGATAAGAATCTCCAGGTCTGCTTTAGACACTATGTTTTTGATCCTGGCAATGTTTTTTAGATGGTAAAAAGCTGCTGATGTTACTGATTTTATGTGGCTATTAAAATTTAAGTCTGAGTCCAGTATTACCCCTAGATTTCTGACCTTGTTTGAAGGTTTTAGGGAGAGAGACTGTAGATGACAGATGACGCTCTCTCTTTGTTTCTGGGGACCAAAGACAATCATTTCACTTTTGTCTGCGTTTAGCTGAAGGAAGTTGTTTTGCATCCACTCACTGATCTGTTGGATACAGTGAAGGAGTGAGTCCACTGGTCCATGTTCTCCTGCAGTCAGTGAGACATAGATCTGAGTGTCGTCTGCATAGTTATGATAGGACACTTTGTTTCTGCGTATTAACTGACCTAACGGCAGCATGTAGAGATTGAACAGAAGAGGTCCCAGGATCGACCCCTGTGGTACTCCACAGGTCAGGGCCATATGATCTGAGACACAGTTTCCAATCTCCACAAAGTACTTCCTGTCTTCAAGGTAAGACCTAAACCAACTTAGGGCGGTGCCAGCGACGCCAACCCAGTCCTCCAGTCTCTGCATGAGGATCTCATGGTCGACAGTGTCGAACGCGGCACTAAGATCCAACATGACTAAAACTGTGACTTTACCTGCATCAGTGTGAAGTCGAATGTCGTTTGTTACCTTCACTAGAGTGTTTATAGTGTTTTTGAGTGTATATTGTTTTTGCTCAGAGACTTTCGAAACATTCTTCTGCTCTTTGAGCCTTAATTTGAGCCCCTGAACATGCATGAAAACTTGCCAAACTTTGCCCAAAATTAACAACCGGCAAAAAATTGACTTTTAGATGTTAAATCTCTGAAAAGTACACCTCGCTCAAACATCAAACCAGCCGCGGCCGTTTCACTAATTTGGCTGAAAATTGCTCCACATGGTCTCAACACATGGACCATTAATAGTTGATTATAGAGTTTGAATTAGTCAAACGGTCTGCGCGCGACAGACTCCCAAAGTGTGGTTATTTTCATAGAGAGGTGTGAAGTTCCCATGTTATCCAATGGAGACTGTATGGACACACTCACAGATTGTATGTGTAAACAGGAGCGCCTTTACAAACTCTGATTTGCACTAACCTTGACTCGGTGTGTGTGCCTTTTTGCGTGTGTCTGTTTTTGTGTATGTGCCTTTGTGTTTGTGTGTGTGGGTATGTGTGTGTGTGTAAAAGCGATGGTTTTCCAGACAGTCGTGTGTGGGAGATCTATTCTAACTGCACAAAGAGGAGGAAGACTAAAGTGAGAGAATGTGTTCTCAACTATTCGTTCCACTTCTCCTCGTCTGGTGTGGAGGTGCTGTGTTCAGGTTAGGGTTAACTTAACAGGTCAGGTTAAGTCGAACTTAAATCTCTGCTGTAACTGATGTGTCTGTCTCTGCAGACTTACTGAACCGTCCAGTCCTGTCCCTCTCTGTGACTCAGGGGTTCTCCCAGGTCGAGGATTTTCAGGCCCCGGTCCCCCAGGTCTTCCAGGTCGGGGTGCAGGTCGTGCGTGTGCAGTTGGGATCTCAGTTCTTGGTCCAGTGCTCGGTGAAGCCTCAGTTCCCAGGAGGCTCCTTCCAGCTGCTCTCTCCCTCTGGGAACCACACCCTGCCTGCTGTCAATCACTCTGCCCACTTCCTGTTCAATCACACTGGCCCCGCCCACAAAGGAAACTATACCTGTGTTTACCACCTACAGGTGTTCAACCACAGCTTCACCTCCGAGAGCGAGAGACTGGAGCTGAGGCTGGGAGGTACGTGATACTGCTACTGCTACTCCTACTACTGCTGCTAATGCTGCTACTGCTATCAATCAATCAATCAATCAACGTTTATTTATAGAGCGCCTTTCCTACACAAGGCAACGCAAAGCGCCTCACAACCCATATAACATCATGCATAAATCATCAAACATTAGAATTTAAGTAAACATAAAAGGACAGATTAAGAGCACAAGATATATAAAATCACACAAGTAGTTAAAAACCGTAAAACATTAAAATCACACAAGGGATTACAATCATAAATAATCATAAATAATCATAGTGCATTAAAAAGATTAAAGATAAAAACAAATATAAATGGATGAGAATGCGTGGATAAGAATCTCCAAGTCTGCTTTAGACACAATGTTTTTAATTTTAGCAATGTTTCTTAGGTGGAAGTAAGCTGATGATTTCACAGATGATATGTGGCTATTGAAATTTAAGTCTGAGTCCATTATTACTCCTAGATTTCTGACCTGAGTTGAGGGTTTTAGGGAGAGAGACTGGAGGTGGCAGATAACGCTCTCTCTTTGTTTTTGAGGTCCAAAAACAATAATTTCAGTTTTTTCTGTGTTTAGCTGGAGAAAGTTATTTTGCATCCAATCACTGATTTGTTGGATACAGTGAAGGAGCGAGTCCACTGGTCCATGTTCTCCTGCTGTCAGGGACACATAGACCTGAGTATCGTCAGCATAATTGTGATAGGACACGTTATTACTGTGTATTAACCTACCCAGAGGCAGCATGTAAATATTAAACAGGAGAGGCCCCAGGATTGAGCCCTGTGGCACTCCGCAGGTTAGGGCCAGATGGTCTGAGATACAGTTTCCGATCTCCACAAAATACTTTCTGTCCTGTAGGTAGGATATAAACCAGCTTAGGGCTGTTCCAGAAACACCAACCCAGTCCTCAAGTCTCTGAATGAGGATACCATGATCGACAGTGTCGAAAGCAGCACTTAATATCTAACAGGATAAGAACTGAGACTTTTCCTGCGTCAGTGTTAAGTCTGATGTCATTTGTTACCTTCACTAGAGCGGTCTCTGTGCTGTGGTGGGGTCTAAAACCAGACTGGAACATATCAAAAGAGTGATTGATTATTAAAAATTCTGTAAGTTGTTGATAGACAACTTTTTCTAGAATTTTACCCATGAAAGGCAGATTTGAAATGGGCCGATAACTTTTAAGTGCCAAGGCATCCAGACTCCTCTTTTTTAGGAGGGGTCTGATGACTGCCGTTTTCAGGGCCATTGGGAATGTTCCAGATTCAAGAGACATATTTACTATATGCGTGAGTGAAGGTAAAAGACTGCTCAGAACAGATTTAAGAAATCTAGGAGGTAATACATCCAGGCTACATGTAGAAGAACTCAGACTTGTAATTATCATTTGGACAGTTTCATTTTGTACTGGTGTAAAGTGTGTCAGCCCAAAAAGCTTCACTGGCTGTTGGATTGTAATTTCTACTGTGGAGGTGATGGCATTTTTGATGCCTTGGACTTTGTCATTAAAAAACTCTGCAAACTCATTACATTTGGTTTTGGAGGTAAGCTCTGATGGCATCTTAACAGGGGGATTTGTCAAATTATTTACTGTTGAGAACAGAACGCGTAGATTGTTACTGCAACCTTCGATTGTTTCGGAAAAATAAGTTTCCCTCGTTCTACGTAGCACACTGTTGAACTTGCACAATGCATCTTTGAAGATCTCATGGTCAACTTGGAGATTTGACTTTCGCCACTTCCGCTCGGCTCTCCGGCACTCTCTCTTCTGTGCCCTGACAGAGTCTGCTTTTGTCCATGGCGCTTTTTGCTTATTTGTAACAATTTTGACCTTTACAGGAGCAATCGTGTCCAGAACATCCAAAACACTAGAGGTGACAGAGTTAAGTAATTCATCCACAGTAGAACACAACGTGTTATCAAAGTTTATCATCCCCATGAAAGGTTCACCTGTATTTTTGTTTATGTGTCTTCCTCTTCTAACAATTGAGGATTCAGCTCGTGCTTTACTATTGAGACACATATCAAAAGATACACAGAAATGATCTGACAGAGCAACATTGGCCACATTTACATTTGAGATATTAACCCCTTTAGTAATTAGCAGATCGAGAGTGTGTCCTCTGCTATGGGTGGGGCCACTCACATGCTGAGTGAGACCAAAGGTTTCCAGCACAGAGCTCAGCTCTTTCGCGTATCTATCATTAACGTTATCTACATGTATATTAAAATCACCTATGACGACTAAACTATCAAAGTCTGTGCACACAACTGAAAGCAACTCGGTGAAATGATCAGTGAAACTATGACATGACTGTGGCGGCTTGTACACAACAATAATAAGAATAGAAGATTGTTTTTGTTCTATTTTAAAAGAGACATACTCAAATGAGGAAAATTTCCCAAGAGGTACTCTATGGGAGACAATACAATCTTTAAAAACTGCTGCTGTGCCTCCTCCTCTTTTATTTTCTCGAATTTCTGATTCAAATTTGAAATTTGGTGGTGTTGTTTCTATTAAAACTGCATTTTCTGTATTATGGTCAAGCCAAGTTTCAGTCATAAACATAAAGTCAAGATCATAAGAACAGATAAAATTATTAATTAAAAAGGATTTATTGCATAGTGATCTGACATTAAGCAGAGCAAGGTTAAAAATAATATCAGTGTCAGTGGGTTTAGTTGATTGACTACAAAGAATTGGAATTAGATTTCCTGAGTTGGACCGTCTAACTGCTGTCCTTCTGTTATATTTGTGTTTATTCAAATTAAAACACATTTCTGAGCCGGTGCGAGGAACACACACAGTCTCTATTGGTTTAAAAAGTGAACTCTGTTTTACTTTGTTAAGTTCCAGATGCATAACTGAGTCAGCACAGTTCAGTGGCAGGACTGTCGTTACACTGCCAGACGGACAGGGGTCAGTGTTTGCACCACAGTACTCACCCGGTGCTGGAGTGGAGGAGGAAGGTGGTAGTGGGGGCCGAGAGACCTCGGATGTAAACAGTCACGCCCCCCTCGGGGAGCACTGAACAACATGGCGTAAAAAGTCCATCAATAAACTGGTACCGTATCTGACCATAGAGGCGACTAATGTCGTTCGTGGTCATTGCAGTGTCACTTTCCATGTCTGTGGTGCGCTCGTGGTAGCCTCCGAGCTAGCGCGTTTCGATTGGGTCTTTGTGTTAAAAGACGTGATGCTCTGGAACCATTGCATTTAAGATAATAAAACACTAGAGTGTACAAAAGACACTAATACACCGTAAAAACGTGTTTAAAAGGCTTTAAAAGGCTTAAAAGGGTAAACAGAGCAGAGACGTCAAAAACGCGTGCTCACTCCGGGCGGCACGGTGGCTGAGTGGATAGCACTCTCGCCTCTCAGCAAGAAGGTCCTGGGTTCGAATCCCGGCCGGACCAGGGCCTTTCTGAGTGGAGTTTGCATGTTCTCCCCGTGTCTGCGTAGGTTTCCTCCGGGTACTCCGGTTTCCCCTACCACTAAAAATATGTCCAATAGTTCTGGCATGCGCCTCCTGTACTGGCGACCCCGCTCCATCTCTGTGTGGAGTGAGAGACAAATGCCCAATATTAACAATTGTAAACCGCTTTGAGACTCAGATCTGCAGTGAAAAGGCGGTATATAAATACAAACTTACTTACTTACTTACTTACTCCGCGTGCTCACTCCGCTACTACTGCTGCTAATGCTGCTACTGCTACTGCTGCTACTACTACTGCTACTATTACTGCTGCTACTTGTGCTACTGTTACTACTGCTGCGACTGCTACTGCTACTGCCACTAAAACTGCTGCTCCTGCTACTTCTACTGCTATGTCTACTGCTGCTGCTACTACTACTATTGCTACTGCCACTACTTCTATACCTTTCACATAGAAAGCCAGATCCTGTCTAAAACTAAAGACCCGTGTATACTCGGGCTTCACTGGTTTCGTTGGCGGTTGCGCAGGACCTACACAGCCACAGTTGGACCTACACAGCCACAGTTGGACCTACACAGTTGGACCTACACAGTTGGACCTACACAGATGGACCTACACAGATGGACCTACACAGCCACTTCCTTTGCTTTGACTTATCCCTGTACGACTGAGAGCTTACACAGACATACACAGTTGGACCTATACAGTTGGACCTATACAGTTGGACCTACGCAGTTGGACCTATACAGTTGGACCTACGCAGTTGGACCTATACAGTTGGACCTACGCAGTTGGACCTATACAGTTGGACCTACGCAGTTGGACCTATACAGTTGGACCTACGCAGTTGGACCTATACAGTTGGACCTACGCAGTTGGACTTACGCAGCCACAGTTAAGATAAGATAAACCTTTATTAGTCTCACAGTGGAGAAATTTCAGTGTCATTGTTGTGCACATTACAGCAGAGAGAGTTGGACCTACACAGTCACAGTTGGACCTACACAGTTGGATCTACACAGTCACAGTTGGACCTACACAGTTGGACCTACACAGTTGGACCTACACAGTTGGATCTACACAGTCACAGTTGGACCTACATAGCCACAGTTGGACCTACACAGTTGGATCTACACAGTTGGACCTACATAGCCACAGTTGGACCTACACAGTTGGACCTACACAGCCACAGTTGGACCTACACAGTTGGACCTACACAGCCACAGTTGGACCTACACAGTTGGACCTACACAGTTGGACCTACATAGCCACAGTTGGACCTACACAGTTGGACCTACACAGTTGGACCTACACAGCCACAGTTGGACCTACACAGTTGGACCTACACAGTTGGACCTACATAGCCACAGTTGGACCTACACAGTTGGACCTACACAGTTGGACCTACATAGCCACAGTTGGACCTACACAGTTGGATCTACACAATTGGACCTACACAGCCACAGTTGGACCTACACAGTTGGACCTACACAGTTGGATCTACACCGTTGGACCTACACAGCCACAGTTGGACCTACACAGTTGGACCTACACAGTTGGACCTACACAGTTGGATCTACACAGTTGGACCTACACAGCCACAGTTGGACCTACACAGTTGGACCTACACAGTTGGACCTACATAGCCACAGTTGGACCTACACAGTTGGACCTACACAGTTGGAGCTACACAGCCACAGTTGGACCTACACAGTTGGACCTACATAGCCACAGTTGGACCTACATAGCCACAGTTGGACCTACACAGCCACAGTTGGAGCTACACAGTTGGACCTACACAGCCACAGTTGGACCTACACAGTTGGACCTACATAGCCACAGTTGGACCTACACAGTTGGACCTACATAGCCACAGTTGGACCTACACAGTTGGACCTACACAGTTGGACCTACATAGCCACAGTTGGACCTACACAGTTGGACCTACATAGCCACAGTTGGACCTACACAGTTGGACCTACACAGCCACAGTTGGACCTACATAGCCACAGTTGGACCTACACAGTTGGACCTACACAGCCACAGTTGGACCTACACAGTTGGACCTACACAGTTGGACCTACACAGCCACAGTTGCTCGTGTACTCGGGACCACCCCCCGCATAGTTTTGAAGAGAACGTTACAATCCCACACCCAGCCTCATTTACGCTGCTTCTTTCTCCTCTTCAGAACAAAAACAATGAACCGAGCTGTTTGAGATCATTACATGTGTTTCTACTGCAGGTTAATGTGACCGTTCTAAACTCATCGTTTCAACTCAGTTAACTGATGCTGTGAATAGAGACTGTTTATTTTGGAAACATAGTTATTATTAAAGTGTATTCAGCACAAACAACAAAACAAGTGGTAAATATCTGAGACAAACATGAACGATTTACAAGTGCAGGAGGAATGGAACAGACGCGATAAGCTACAAGTGCATACTCAAACAAAGACAGGAACAGAACAAACGACTCTATAGAAGTGTTTGATATGCAACAAAACTCATTGTCATCAGGCTCTGAGCCGTGAGCCAAAATGCTTTTCCTTCCTGCTCCGAAAAGTGCCAAACTGTCGTTGTGTCGTTAGGCAAGACACTCAGAGACAGTGTGTGTGATGTCACATACTGGAGACAGAGTGTGTGATGTCACATACTGGAGACGGAGTGTGTGATGTCACATACTGGAAACAGTGTGATGTCACATACTGGAGACGGAGTGTGTGATGTCACATACTGGAGATAGAGTGTGTGATGTCACATACTGGAGATAGAGTGTGTGATGTCACATACTGGAGACAGAGTGTGTGATGTCACATACTGGAGACAGAGTGTGTGATGTCACATACTGGAGACAGAGTGTGTGATGTCACATACTGGAGATAGAGTGTGTGATGTCACATACTGGAAACAGAGTGTGTGATGTCACATACTGGAGACAGAGTGTGTGATGTCACATACTGGAGACAGAGTGTGTGATGTCACATACTGGAGATAGAGTGTGTGATGTCACATACTGGAAACAGAGTGTGTGATGTCACATACTGGAGACAGAGTGTGTGATGTCACATACTGGAGACAGAGTGTGTGATGTCACATACTGGAAACAGTGTGTGTGATGTGACATAGACTGTGTATAGATGGACAATGCTAACCTGCTAGCTTAATGAAGCACGATGGGGAAGTGCTCAGGGAGGAAGTTTTGCTCCTGCTCGTACTGGCTCCACTTCCACTAAAAGTAAACTGAGTAACTGTTTTGGGATGAAACGTCTGTGTTTTATCGTTCTCTGTGATCCTGGTGAAGTGATATTTTCTGTGAATCCAGTTTCTTTTGAAGTACTTGTACTTGTACTTGTACTTTATCCAACCTGTTTTGTTTTTGCAGTTTTAAAGTTTAACCTGATCATCAGAGTCCTGATTATTCCACTGATGATCCTCCTGTTCACCCTGCCACAGTGCTACTGCTACTACAAGGTACTACTGCTACTACTACTACCACTGCTACTGCTACTGCTACTACAAGGTACTACTGCTACTGCTGCTACTACTGCTGCTACTACTGCTACTGCTACTACAAGGTACTTCTGCTACTACTACTACCACTGCTACTGCTACTGCTACTACAAGGTACTACTGCTACTACTGCTACTGCTACTACAAGGTACTACTGCTACTACTACTACCACTGCTGCTGCTGCTGCTACTACTACTACCACCGCTACTACTACTACAAGGTACTACTGCTGCTACTACTGCTACTGCTACTGCTACTACAAGGTACTACTGCTACTACTACTACCACTACTACTGCTACTGCTACTACAAGGTACTACTGCTACAGCTACTGCTACTACAAGGTACTACTGCTACTACTACTACCACTGCTACTGCTACTACAAGGTACTACTGCTACTACTGCTGCTACTACTGCTACTGCTACTACAAGGTACTACTGCTACTACTGCTACTACTACTACTACTACTGCTACTACTGCTACTGCTACTACAAGGTACTACTGTTACTACTGCTACTGCTACTGCTACTACTACTGCTACCGCTACTACTACTGCTACTATTACTACTGCTACTGCTACCGCTACTACTACTGCTACTACTGCTACTGCTGCTACTACTACTACTACTACTGTTACTACTAGGCAAGGCAAGGCAAGTTTATTTGTATAGCACAATTCATACACAAGGCAACGCAAAGTGCTGAACAAGAAAGCATTAAAATCATAAATAATCACAGAACATTAAAAAGAAAGATAAAAACATAAAATCCCTCAGTTGTAGCACAGCTAAACAGAACCGTCTTTAACCTGGTTTTAAACATTGTCAGAGAGGAGGCCTGTCTCACATCTTCAGGAAGATTGTTCCAGATTTTAGCAGCATGAATCTGAAAAGCAGCCTCCCCATGTTTAGTTCTGACTCTGGGCACTAACAGGAGTCCAGTCCCTGTGCTCCTCAGAGTCCCAGCAGGAGTCCAGTCCCTGTCCCTCAGAGTCCCAGCAGGAGTCCAGTCCCTGTGCTCCTCAGAGTCCCAGCAGGAGGCCAGTCCCTGTGCTCCTCAGAGTCCCAGCAGGAGTCCAGTCCCTGTGCTCCTCAGAGTCCCAGCAGGAGTCCAGTCCCTGTGCTCCTCAGAGTCCCAGCAGGAGTCCAGTCCCTGTGCTCCTCAGAGTCCCAGCAGGAGTCCAGTCCCTGTGCTCCTCAGAGTCCCAGCAGGAGTCCAGTCCCTGTGCTCCTCAGAGTCCCAGCAGGAGGCCAGTCCCTGTGCTCCTCAGAGTCCCAGCAGGAGTCCAGTCCCTGTGTTCCTCAGAGTCCGGGCTGGTTCATATGGGACTAACATGTCACTAATATATTTTGGTGCGAGGCCATGGAGAGACTTGTAACAAGCAGAGCTGTTTTAAAGTCTATTCTCTGAGCCACAGGAAGCCAGTGCAGAGACCTGAGAACTGGACTAATGTGGTCGTACTTCCTGGTTCTTGTCAGGACCAATATGGTCGTACTTCCTGGTTCTAGTCAGGACTAATGTGGTCGTACTTCCTGGTTCTAGTCAGGACTAATATGGTCGTAATTCCTGGTTCTAGTCAGGACTCGAGCTGCTGCATTTTGAATGTACTGCAGCTGTTTTACAGCCTGTTTGGACAGACCTGTGAGCAGGCCATTGCAGTAGTCTAACCTACTGGAGACAAATGCATGGATAAGAATCTCCAAGTCTGCTTTAGACACTATGTTTTTGATCCTGGCAATGTTTTTTAGATGGTAAAAAGCTGCTGATGTTACTGATTTTATGTGGCTATTAAAATTTAAGTCTGAGTCCAGTATTACCCCTAGATTTCTGACCTTGTTTGAAGGTTTTAGGGAGAGAGACTGTAGATGACAGATGACGCTCTCTCTTTGTTTCTGGGGACCAAAGACAATCATTTCAGTTTTGTCTGCGTTTAGCTGAAGGAAGTTGTTTTGCATCCACTCACTGATCTGTTGGATACAGTGAAGGAGTGAGTCCACTGGTCCATGTTCTCCTGCAGTCAGTGAGACATAGATCTGAGTGTCGTCTGCATAATTGTGATAGGAAACTTAATTTCTGCGTATTAACTGACCTAACGGCAGCATGTAGAGATTGAACAGAAGAGGTCCCAGGATCGACCCCTGTGGGACTCCACAGGTCAGGGCCATATGATCTGTGACACAGTTTCCAATCTCCACAAAGTACTTCCTGTCTTCAAGGTAAGACCTAAACCAACTTAGGGTGGTGCCAGCGACGCCAACCCAGTCCTCTAGTCTCTGTAAGAGGATCTCATGGTCGACAGTGTCAAAGGCAGCACTTAGATCTAACAAGATTAAGATTGAGACTTTGCCTGCGTCAGTGTTCAGCCGGATATCGTTTGTAACCTTAACAAGAGCAGTCTCAGTGCTGTGGTGGGGTCTAAAGCCGGACTGAAACATCAAATGAGTTGTTGATTATAAGAAATCTAGTAAGCTGTAGGTAGTCAACTTTTTCAAGGACTTTCCCCATAAATGGCAGATTTGAGATGGGACGATAGTTGTTAAGTACCATAGCATCCAGACTGCCTGTTTTTAGCAGGGGCCTGATGACTGCAGTTTTCAGGGCCTTTGGGAATATTCCAGAATGAAGGGACATGTTTACTATCTGTGTGAGTGAAGGTAACAGACTGCTCAGAACAGACTTCAGAAATCTAGTGGGTAGTACATCCAGGATGCATGTGGAGGAGCTCAGACTGGAGATTATCTCTTGGACAGTTTGATCATTTACAGGTGCAAAGTGAGTTAGCTCAGAGAGCCTTTCAGGCTGTTGGATGGTTATCTGTGGATTGGAGACAATGGCGTTTTTGATGCCTTGAACCTTGTCATTGAAAAAATGTGCAAACTCATTACATTTACGTTTGGAAGAAAGCTCTAATGGCATCTGAACAGGGGGGTTTGTTAATCTATTAACTGTTGAAAACAGAACACGCAGATTGTTGCTGCAGCCTTCAATCATTTCAGAAAAATACCTTTCTCTCGTACTACGTAGCACCTGGTTAAACTCGCACAACTTATCTTTGAAGATCTTGTAATCAACCTGGAGGTTGGACTTGCGCCACTTCCGCTCGGCCCTCCGGCACTTTCTCTTTTGTGCCCTGACCAAGTCTGCTTTAGCCCACGGCGCCTTCTGCTTATTTTTCACTATTTTAACCTTCACAGGGGCAACGGTATCCAGAACATTCAAAACACTAGAGGTGACATAGTTAAACAGTTCATCTACAGTAGAATACGATGCATTCTCAAAGTTTATCATTCTCATAAATGGTTCACCCGTATTTTCATTTATGTGTCTTCTTCGTACAGTTGCAGAGTCCACTGGTGGTTTGTTAGTGAAACACATGTCAAAAAATATACAAAAATGTTCCGAAAGTGAAACATCGACCACGTTTACATTAGAAATGTTCACCCCCTTTGTAACTAAAGCCTAGCGTACATCGACAGAGAAACTGGGGACAACTAGTTGCAAGGCGGCTTTTGGCAACTGAGAGGAGATGGTGGGAGATGATCAGTTGCCGAAATCGGTCGATGTGCGCGCTCTTACAACTGGAGATGAACAGTCGGTCTCCAGTTTCAGTCAGTTGCCCGTGTTCTACTTTTTGGCAACTAGTTGTCCTCAGTTTTGGAGATATGACCCGATGTGCGCGCTCCATGCGCCGCTCCGACAACGTGTGTGTATTGCGTGTATTGCGAGCCCGCAACAGTTTATGTCAGAAAACACACTGTAGTTGAGGCCAGTTGCTGTCGATGTACGCGCTGTTATTCCCGAGACTGGTCTGCTACTGGGAGTTGCCCGTTTTCGTCAGATTGTCGATGTGTGCGGGGCAGCAACTCATATGCGACGGATATAATCAGTTGCCAGTCCGATGTACGCTAGGCTTAACAGGTCTAGAGTGTGCCCTCTGCTGTGGGTGGGGCCACTCACATGCTGAGTGAGACCAAAAGATTCAAGAACAGAACTCAGCTCTTTAGCATTTCTGTCATCAACATTATCCACATGAATATTAAAATCACCTGTAATAACTAAACTATCAAAATCTGTGCATACAACTGAAAGCAACTTTGTAAAATTATCAATAAAACTGTGACATGACTGCGGTGGCTTGTATAGGACAATGAAGAGTATTGGAGGAGATTGTTTTTGTTGTATTTTAAAAGACACATATTCAAATGGCGAAAACTTCCCAAGAGACATTCTATGTGAGACAAAGTGGTCTCTAAAAATGGCAGCTAAGCCTCCTCCTTTTTTGTTTTCCCGTATTTCAGATTCAAATTTGAAATTTGGTGGTGATGCTTCTATTAAAACTGCATTTTCTGTATTTTGGTCAAGCCATGTTTCAGCCATGAACATAAGACCTAGATTATAAGAACAAATAAAATTATTGATTAAAAAAGACTTGTTACAAAGAGATCTGACATTTAGCATAGCAAGTTTCAAAGTTTCAGGATCAGCGGTTGTGGTCGGCTGATTCTTACACGGAACAAGAATTAGATTTTCCTGATTAGACAGAGGTTTTTCTGTTATGTATTCTTTGTGTTATCACCAGGGGGGTAGCACCAAATTCTGGGCCCCGGGTACAAACAGACTCGATGGGCCCCTACAAAACGTTTCATGTATATTATATTTACATATGTATATGCATTAATTGCGAAAAAAAGACCGCAATTGACGCATGTCCGATGCCCATACATCCCATAATATCACTCAGAATGCAGTGGACACGTGTGTGTGTGTGAGATGGCAACAGATCAGAGCAGGTCTCTGGGAAGTTAAAAAAGAATACACGCGTGGCCGTGAGGTACTTGCTGCTGTTTGCTATGAATTGAACAGGAGCGCATCCTCCTGCAGGGTTTTGACCCGGGGCAGCTGCGAGCTGCTAACAACAACACAGCAAACGGCGCCGCCGTAACGTGATCATATCCAAGACCATGCACCCATTGAACTATTCTCTTCAATTTGTGTGCGTGTCTTACCTGTGAGTAACATGTGCACGCAAACACGCCGCTGAAGCTGGACCATGTCCCCCCTGTGTCTCCTTCTGAAACGCAACTAAACTCGCAAAATTCAAGCTGGGGTAAAATGTTGCGATCAAATCAAACTGATTTAATGACATTCTGCCTCAGACAGTTTTGAAATGTCCCACATCTATAATAACAATAGTTTTGGTCTCAGTCTAAACAGAAAGACAGAATGTTATTAATGTTAGTGCCATTTTATATGGATTTATTGTTATAATAAACAAATACAGTACATATGTACACTATGTGGTCATTTATTTATTTTTGCCGATAGTTAGAAATGCGATTAATTACAATTAATTATTTATTTATTTTTTAAACCTGCACTACTATTGACACTAATATTGACACTTCTTACTGCCTCTTTCTAATTGCCACTTTTGTAAATATATTCTATATTTCCTGCATTAACATGTTTGCACATTTCTTACTTTTTGCACAATTCTGAGTGTTCTATCCATGCCAAATGGATTCTCCTGTTGTGAGATTAATAAAGCTAATGTTAATCTTAATCTTTTAGCTGTAATTAACTCGATTAAAAATGTTGATCGCTTGACAGCCCTAATATAAATAATATACTGTACAAACCAAAAGTTTGGACACACTTTCTCATTCAATGAGTGATCTTTCTTTTCATGACTAATGCTGTAGATTCACACCCAGACTGTGTAAGGGCTATTTGAGTCTGAATCTACAATTTTCATAGTCATGAAAACAAAAAAGAATCATTGAATAAGAAGGTGTGTCCAAACTGTTGGTCTGTACTGTATGTATGTGTATATATATATATGCACATATATATAATCGCATATAAATATTTGACCTGAGAGCAGTGAGAAGTTTTTTTTTCACATGGATTTTTAGTTGAATTGAATAATGACTGAATATATAAGCTTAAGCAACACATGTTCATTGAGGATGATAAGGGGATCAGACGGACTTCTTTCCTATCAAATAACGTAGCTTTCATAGCCTCCACACTCTGACAACAACAGACGCTTTTTATAACAAAAATCCACTGCACTAACAGTGAGCATTGAAGCTTATCTAATACGTTTTTTATGTGTGCATTCGAATTAAAACATCAGCAATAGCAGCTCACAGATCTGTGTCGCTGCTCCTTCTGCTCCTCCTTCTCTGAGGAGTTGTTCGCTGCTCCTCCTCCTCAGGGGGTGGCAGGGCCCTGATATAGCATACAAATTAGTTTTTAGACGAAAGCTGAGTTTAAAATGTTGGTTATTATTATGCAAGGCCCCTTTTATTAAAATTGAAATAACATGAAAATGCCACAATAAGTATTACATTTACATATATAGACATACTTTAGAGGGCCCCTCCCCGCCTTGGGCCCTGGGTACTCGGTACCCTTTACCCCCCCAGTCCGACGCCCATGGTTATCACTAAGGGAATGGCACAGGTGGCTTCATGACAGGGCCCCAGCCGGGTCTCTCCTCTAACTAGACTGCCAGTGGCTGCGAAGCAGAGACCCTGTGCATCCTAGTGTTTAGAGAAAAGAGGGGAAGGGGAAGAGGATGGAGAGGCGGGTGGTTCTTGGGAGTTGGACGGGGGGGGGGGTTGAAGGTGGATGGGTTTTTGGTGATTGTTAGGGGAGGGGCAGGCTGAGTTGGGTGGTGGACGAGGGGGGAGTGGAGGTGGAGGGTTTCTTGGTGCTGGGTTAGGGGGGAGGTGGGCTAAATGAGCAGGAGGGGGGGGTGGAATACTTATGGGGTTAGAGGAGGGACGGGTGGATTTTGTGGGAGAATTTGAGTTGGACGCCCTAGGTGTCTTTGGAGGTACGTATGGGGAGTAGTTTTGAATGTTAGATAGGACTCTTGATCTGGCTACAGTGGGTGTGAGAGGAATAGTCTTCATCGCCGATCTTATCATGCCTGCCGAGTGTTCCGGTAATTCCAGTAGTGAAGGCGGGGATAGAAAACAAAGGGAAAGGTCGTCCTCATTTTCCCTAGATGGAGTGGATGTAGCGGGGGGGACCCAAGCCGGGTCCATGGAAGGTGATGAGGGAGTCTTTGGTGGAGACAGAGGTGGTTGAGGAACCCCCAGTACAGGCCTGACTGTAGCCTGGAGCAATGGGGGAAGCTTCACGGGAGCTGTAGGTGGGGAAGGTGCTGCTGAAGATGATGGAGCAGCCACTGCTGCTGCTGAAGATGATGAAGCAGCCACTGCTGCTGCTGTATCCACTGCTGCTGGTGGTGCTGTATATGCTGATGGCGCTGATGAAGATGTGGCAGCTGCTGATGATGCTGGTGGTGGAGGCGTTGAGCTCTTTCGGAGCCTTGGAGGTGTTGAGTTCTTCTTGAATCGTGAAGGTGTGGAGTTCTTTTGAGGCGGTGGGGGTGCAGAGACCTCGGGAGTTGGTGGAGATGGTCGTGATGTCTGTGCCCTTTGCTTCTTCTTTCTCCCTTTCGACGGCTGCAAGCGCTGCGCAGGCTGAGGTCTTAGGGCAGATGCAAAGTTATCCATCAACACTTTTACTCCGTAGTTGTTCAGATGTGGACCTTTTCCTTCAAAAAGCTTGTGTCTATTCCAGAACAGATTCAAGTTTTCAATGAAGCCAAGTCCTCTGCGTGAATACTCATTGAGTAGGAATGTATTTAGCTGATACAGACGGCTAAACTTCTCAATTTTTCCATCTATATTTGGAAGTGGTCCACTAAGAAAAATGTTTATGTCCATTTTCTTGAGGTCATCCAGTAACAGCGTTAAATCCATTCGTAACTTTTCGCTTGCCTTCTCATAGATATCTACCGCCCCCGTGTGGATCAATAATGTACACACACCACTGTTCTCAGATAACACTTTAGGCAGAAGAGTCCTTATCTCAGCAACTTTTGCAGAGTGAACTGAGACAGTGAGCATGGACTCCATGTTTACATTTTTCACCGAACCATCTCCGATAAGGACACAGTTTGTCCTTGGTGGAGGCGCTGCAGTTTTTAGCGGCTTTGTTGTTTCAGAAAGGGGTAAAAAGCGGTTTGAAGTCTTCAGAACATTTAGTTGTGGCCTTATTTCACTCCTATTGTCATTCTTAGCTTTGTCAACTTTGGGTTTAGCTCCACAATTGTTCCAATAATTCTCATTGTTGATTTTGGGAAAAGAAATTACGTCATAACTTACATTTCCAGTCTGTCCATTCATCCCATTTTCACTCATTGGAAGAGTTGGGTTTAGTCCCATTTCTGTTTCCACAATAGATATCCGTGTTTGAAGAGATTTGAGCTGATATTCCAGAGCACAACAGCCGCCGCAGACGCTTCTCCGTCTCTTTCGTCCCGACATGACTAAAGTTGATAAATTCCACAAAGCTGAAGTGTGTAGAAGGAGTAATCCTCGTTTTGTAAATAAAATGATTAAAGGAGAAACAAAAAATGTAAATAAAATGATTCAAGGAGATTCAAAACCGAAGCAAAAGCAGAGCAGAGCAGAGAGACACGACTGCTCTCTCGAGAAGCAGGAAGCATACTACTACTACTACTACTGCTACTACTGCTACTGTTACTACTACTACTACTACTACTACTGCTACTACTACTACTGCTACTACTGCTACTGCTACTACTACTACTACTGCTACTACTGCTACTGTTACTACTACTACTACTACTACTACTACTACTGCTACTACTGCTACTGTTACTACTACTACTACTACTACTACTGCTACTACTGCTACTGTTACTACTACTACTACTACTACTACTACTGCTACTGTTACTACTACTACTACTGCTACTGTTACTACTACTACTACTGCTACTGCTACCGCTACTACTGCTACTACTGCTACTGTTACTACTACTACTGCTACTGCTACTGCAACTGGTTCAGACCTGTGGATGTCTTGTTGTTTCAGGTTAAGTCCAGAAGAGGCGCTAGTGAGACACATGGGACCATGATCCTGATGAATGAAGTCATCACAGAAGAGGAGAGAGGAGGAGACGGACCAGGAGAGGAGAGAGGAGGAGACGGACCAGGAGAGGAGAGAGGAGGAGAGGAACCAGAAGAGGAGCGAGGAGGAGAGGGACCAGAAGAGGGGAGAGGAGGAGAGGAACCAGAAGAGGGGTAGGGGGGGAGGGAGGGAGGAGTAGAGGGACCAGGAGAGGAGAGGGGAGGGACCAGAAGATGGGGAGGGAGGGACGAGTAGAGGGACCAGAAGAGGAGAGAGGAGGGGAGGAACCAGAAGAGGGGTAGGGGGGAGGGAGGGAGGGAGGAGTAGAGGGACCAGGAGAGGAGAGGGGAGGGGAGGGACCAGGAGATGCGGGCGGAGTAGAGGGAGCAGGAGAAATGAGTGAAGTGTAAATATTTCCCATGATGCTCTGGGTGTAAACGCCTCCTTCTGTTCAGCTTTGATCCTGTGTTGTTTTATTTCTCTGTTCGGGCTCAGAATGAAAAAGCTGTGGATGGAATCTGTCTCATTTATCAACGACACTTGTATGGCACATTCACACACGGATCATACACAGATGTGAAAACAACATTATCTGTTTCTATAACATCTGTGTTTTGTGTATTGTCTATAAATAATACTGTATGTGTACTTATATAATATATATAATAATCTGTATATATGCAATGAAAAACTTTCATCAATACCAAGGTGTGTGTGTGTGTGTGTATAATTTCAAATGTGTTGGCATTTTTTTCTCTGCTCATTGTCATTTTTGATCAAAAAAAATAAAAGGAAATCTTTGGATGGATTTTGTCACAAAGTTTAATGTGTGTGGTTCTAAAGTCAGGTACCCCAGCTTTAAACAGCAGTCTGCAGTTTCCACGGCGACCGAGGGAGCTCTGAACCAAAGGTACCAGTGACAGAACAGACACAGAACCATGGACACAACTGGTCTGAACCAAAGGTACCAGTGACAGAACAGACACAGACTCTTTGGCTGCAGGAGCAAAGCCACAGAACAAAAACCTGGAGAATGTTGGAGGAACAGCAGTGACAAAGACAACCACTATTATTTTATTGTAAGTAACAGGAAGTGACAAACCAGGAATCTGCTTTGGCTCATGGTGCAAACATGTGGTAAGAGTAAAAAGGTGCAGACATATAAGAATGTTGATAAATGTGTTAAAATGAGGACTATCTCCACATGCACTAAGGACAGAGACATGTAGCAGTGCAGTAAAGTGACTGTAAATGTCTAAAGATGAACACATGTTTTTACACATGTACAAACATCCAAGACCATTGGACTGAAGGCAACACAAACATGAAGCAAGGAGAAACATTATTACTGGGAACATGAGGTCATAGAATGAAGAGAGGATCATGGCACTCACTGATCTCAAACTAATCACCACAAACCAAGAAAAAACAACCCCCAAAACCACAAACTGGAAGCAGTTCAAGAGGAGACGAGTATTCATTCCTTTATAATGAATAATAATGCATTTATATAATAATTATCATAACAAAACAACTCTTATAAAAATAATGGGAAAGGAGTAAACATAAATAAATACATTAATAATAGGAAATGAAAGAAAAAGAGGTAGTTGAAGAATGCGAAGTGAATGTACCTTCGACATTAGTGTGTGAGTGACAAACCCTAGACATTAGTGTGTGAGTGACAAACCCTAGACATTAGTGTGTGAGTGACAAACCCTAGACATTAGTGTGTGAGTGACAAACCTTAGACATTAGTGTGTGAGTGACAAACCCTAGACATTAGTGTGTGAGTGACAAACCCTAGACATTAGTGTGTGAGTGACAAACCCTAGACATTAGTGTGTGAGTGACAAACCTTAGACATTAGTGTGTGAGTGACAAACCCTAGACATTAGTGTGTGAGTGACAAACCTTAGACATTAGTGTGTGAGTGACAAACCCTAGACATTAGTGTGTGAGTGACAAACCCTAGACATTAGTGTGTGAGTGACAAACCTTAGACATTAGTGTGTGAGTGACAAACCCTAGACATTAGTGTGTGAGTGACAAACCTTAGACATTAGTGTGTGAGTGACAAACCCTAGACATTAGTGTGTGAGTGACAAACCTTAAGCCTGGTTCACACGAGACGATTTTAAAATTGTCGGCCGATTTTTCTCCGTGTTAGACCCCACACGGGGAGATTAAAAATCCTGCGTCTAACCACTTTGGTCGTGCAGTGTGTGGTGCGTAGCCACACGGCAAGATCACGCAAGCCACAAACATCACACACGAACCGACACCCCCCCCCCCCCCCCCCCCCCCCGAGCATTCCCAGGTCAGACGGAAATCTCACAAAATGTCTCGAGATCAAGCGTGACTTCAGAGTAAACAGTCATGGCGGACGAAGAGAATGCAGTGGCGATAGTGTGCAGTTTGTTGTTAACAGAGAAGACACGTAATCCAAAGAAAAGGCAATGGTCAAAGCCATGCTGCTGTGTTTTGGTTTTTTTCCGGTGTTTCCTCACCGGCTTGTCACCTCGTCTTCTGATTGGCTACACGCCGTAGTCATGGCAACGCGCACGTCTGTCCTCAGGGGACACCACACACGAAAAGAAATCGGGCCAAAACAATCCAACATGTTGGATATCCCCGATTTGAGATCGGGAGCAGTCCCGATGTCCTTCCGAGCGACGAGTGCAGTCTTAACACACCACACACGGCAGGATAATCTGTAAGATTTTGTTACGGAAATCGGAGCGTTTCTTAAGATTGTCGTAAGGGGTAAATCGGCCTAAATATCCTGCCGTGTGAACCAGGCTTTAGACATTAGTGTGTGAGTGACAAACCCTAGACATTAGTGTGTGAGTAGTAGTAGTAGTAGTAGTAGTAAGGTTTATTTATATACCGCCTTTTCACTGCACATCGGAGTCTCAAAGCGGTTTACAATTGTTGGGTGGGGTCGCCAGTACAGGAGGCACATGCCATACCTATTGTACATATTTTTAGTGGTAGGGGAAACCGGAGCACCCGGAGGAAACCTACGCAGACACGGGGAGAACATGCAAACTCCACTCAGAAAGGCCCTGGTCCAACCGGGATTCGAACCCAGGACCTTCTTGCTGAGAGGCGAGAGTGCTATCCACTCAGCCACCGTGACGCCCAAACCCTAGACATTAGTGTGTGAGTGACAAACCTTAGACATTAGTGTGTGAGTGACAAACCTTAGACATTAGTGTGTGAGTGACAAACCTTAGACATTAGTGTGTGAGTGACAAACCTTAGACATTAGTGTGTGAGTGACAAACCTTAGACATTAGTGTGTGAGTGACAAACCTTAGACATTAGTGTGTGAGTGACAAACCTTAGACATTAGTGTGTGAGTGACAAACCTTAGACATTAGTGTGTGTGACAAACCCTAGACATTAGTGTGTGTGACAAACCTTAGACATTAGTGTGTGTGACAAACCTTAGACATTAGTGTGTATGACGAACCTTAGACATTAGTGTGTGGGACAAACCTTAGACATTAGTGTGTGATAAACCTTAGACATTAGTGTGTGACAAACCTTAGACATTAGTGTGTATGACGAACCTTAGACATTAGTGTGTGTGACAAACCTTAGACATTAGTGTGTGTGACAAACCTTATACATTAGTGTGTGTGACAAACCTTAGACATTAGTGTGTGAGTGACAAACCTTAGACATGAGTGTGTGTGACAATTCTTAGACATTAGTGTGTGTGACAAACCTTAGACATTAGTGTGTGACAAACCTTAGACATTAGTGTGTGATAAACCTTAGACATTAGTGTGTGACAAACCTTAGACATTAGTGTGTGTGATATACCTTAGACATTAGTGTGTGTGACAAACCTTATACATTAGTGTGTGTGACAAACCTTAGACATTAGTGTGTGTGATAAACCTTATACATTAGTGTGTGTGACAAACCTTAGACATTAGTGTGTGAGTGACAAACCTTAGACATTAGTGTGTGAGTGACAAACCTTAGACATTAGTGTGTGAGTGACAAACCTTAGACATTAGTGTGTGAGTGACAAACCTTAGACATTAGTGTGTGAGTGACAAACCTTAGACATTAGTGTGTGAGTGACAAACCTTAGACATTAGTGTGTGAGTGACAAACCTTAGACATTAGTGTGTGAGTGACAAACCTTAGACATTAGTGTGTGAGTGACAAACCTTAGACATTAGTGTGTGTGACAAACCCTAGACATTAGTGTGTGTGACAAACCTTAGACATTAGTGTGTGTGACAAACCTTAGACATTAGTGTGTATGACGAACCTTAGACATTAGTGTGTGTGACAAACCTTAGACATTAGTGTGTGATAAACCTTAGACATTAGTGTGTGACAAACCTTAGACATTAGTGTGTGTGATATACCTTAGACATTAGTGTGTGTGACAAACCTTATACATTAGTGTGTGTGACAAACCTTAGACATTAGTGTGTGTGACAAACCTTATACATTAGTGTGTGTGACAAACCTTAGACATTAGTGTGTGAGTGACAAACCTTAGACATGAGTGTGTGTGACAATTCTTAGACATTAGTGTGTGTGACAAACCTTAGACATTAGTGTGTGACAAACCTTAGACATTAGTGTGTGATAAACCTTAGACATTAGTGTGTGACAAACCTTAGACATTAGTGTGTGTGATATACCTTAGACATTAGTGTGTGAGTCAAAAACCTTAGACATTAGTGTGTGTGACAAACCTTAGACATTAGTGTGTGTGATATACCTTAGACATTAGTGTGTGAGTGACAAACCTTAGACATTAGTGTGTGTGACAAACCCTAGACATTAGTGACAAACCCTAGACATTAGTGTGTGAGTGACAAACCTTAGACATTAGTTTGTGAGTGACAAACCCTAGACATTAGTGTGTGAGTGACAAACCTTAGACATTAGTGTGTGTGACAAACCCTAGACATTAGTGTGTGAGTGACAAACCTTAGACATTAGTGTGTGTGACAAACCCTAGACATTAGTGTGTGAGTGACAAACCTTAGACATTAGTGTGTAAGTGACAAACCTTAGACATTAGTGTGTGTGACAAACCCTAGACATTCGTGTGTGTGACAAACCCTAGACATTAGTGTGTGTGACAAACCTTAGACATTAGTGTGTGTGACAAACCCTAGACATTAGTGTGTATGACG